ACCCCAAGAGTGTGGACCCCAGGCACGCTTTTAGCTTAGTAATGCAGTTACTCCCAAGGTTCACACTTCACCCCAAAATTAGACAGCCCCATAAAACAAAACAAGACTAATGGGGAACAACAGTCCAGGGACAAGGACTAGAAGGCAGGAGGGGACAGGAAAGCTGGTAATAGGGAACCCAAGGTCGAGAAGGTAGAGTGTTGACCTGTCGTGGGGTTGTTAACCATTGTCTTAAAACAATATGTATACCAACTGTTTAATGAGAAACTATTTGTTCTGTAAACCTTCATCTAAAGTACAATAAAAATAAATAATTTCTTAAAAAATTGTTATTGCTTTGAGCTAATTCAAGAGTTCATTTTTAAAATATATATATAATTGTAATAATATATAATATAAAAGCATCATAACTGAGCCCATAAAAGTCTCTGTAGATCAAATTCAGAGAAATGTATTTTCCAAGTACATCAAGTTCAATTGTATTAGAATCTCTGATCTTTCTTCTTAAGGTAAAGACAGATGCTATAGGTTTTCATTTTAGCAATAAAAATATTCTAAATTGTGTATTCAATCTCTGTTTAGCATATCTTTTCTAAGGTGCTTAAGGAACTTGCTTATTTCCTAGCAGAAGCTGATTTTCATGTAGAAGGGTCACTATTCTGAGTATTACTACTGTCACAAAGATCACATGGCTGGTGGAGAAGTTGAGTGTTCTCATTGCCTTCTACCTGCATTTAATCAAGTACTCTGATACCTCCATGCCAGTCATAATGTTAGTAGCATCTGGGATTTTAATTTGAGATTGTTATGATTAATTGACAATGTTTTACACTTAACTATAAGTTGCGAGTTATGTTGCCACTTTTCTTATGTCCCATGTTTCCTTCTTTCTTTAATTCAGTTTTTGTCTTACTCTCGACAGCATCCTGAAGGAGTTCTTTCAGAAAAGTCTGTGTGTAGTAAACCATCTATCTCTTTACAAGTTCAAAAGTGTCTTTAGTTTGCTTTTTCATCTGAATTCTCATTTGCCAGCCTCAGAACTTGCTAGGAAGTGATGGAACTAACCATCCCAGTGACTAGAAGATCCTTCTAGGAATGGGGCTTAGTGCTCTTACATTGATAAATGGCGTGCATTATACATAATGCTTACAAGTAAATAATTTAAAAGATAGGGATAGTGTAGCATTTCAATGCCAACTTTAATATTCAAATTAATTTCTAATTAAAAATAAAAAGTTTGGAATAGTGACCTTTCTTAGTCAATAAAACTGCCTTTGCCCTTGAAAGAATTAATGATTTATTCAACTATATGACCCAAAGCTAGGAATTAGCCTACTCTGGCCCGATGTGTCTTAAATCTAGCCAGTCGTTTCATATTTTCTAAGAGCTTTGTGAAAATCCGGGTCTATACACTTTGGTGAGTGCCTGGATGTTGCAAATGGTTAATTCACTTGGCTGTTAACCAAAAGGTTAGAGGTTCAAGTCCACCCAGAGCGACCTGGGAAGAAAGGCCTGTTGATCTACTTCTGAAAAATCCCTCCATTGGAAACCCTATGGAGCACAGTTCTGCTCTGATACACAGAGTCTCCGTAAGTCTGAGTTGACTCAATGGCAACTTTTTTTTTTTTTTTTTTAAATACGCTTGGTAGTATCTCTAGGGTTTTACTCTTTTCTGTTGGTAGTAAATTACTTTTTATGACCCCTTAAATAGCCTTATGTTAAGATTTATTGTAAGTAACCATTTGTATATCCTTATTTAGGCTTTTTGTTCTATTCTGTGTTTGCGTTTTGTATCTGTCTTTTACTTTCTATATTCTAGCATCAAGGAAGAAAATGATGCCGAGGGCTTGATCTCAGAAATAACCAAAGAAATGGAGTCTTTAAGAAATTCCAACTTAGTTCCAGGAGCAAGAGTGAGTGTTGTCATAGGACACAGAATGGAAAAAAGAAGAGCTGAAAACCATGATGAAGTTGCATTATTATGTCAATGCATATAGGTCTTAACCTACAAAAAACCTTTTCATAAGGAATCAGAGAGCCCTGCTCTTCCACAGTCTGTGCTGCATAAAAGAGCTGTTTGGTGGTGATTTGGGAAGAGCTATCATGGTCATCAGTATCAAAATGAGACTTCTCATGTGAAATTATCCCCCATAATATCCCCAGACAATGAAAAGTGGTAAATTTTAACAAGTTATTTTTCCTTTTAATAGTCAAGAAAAGTAATAGTCTTGAGTACCTCTTCATTTTTTTTTCTAGATACGATTTCAATGTTGTAAATGTAAGATTAAAATTAAAACTTATTTCCATGCTTCTCTAGAAAATGCCAGGGGAGATGGATCGATTTGATAAACTAGATATGCTTAATTTGGAGTCAGCTCTGGACAGAGAGAGAAGACCCAAACAGGTCCTTGCTGAGGCACCTCCGTTCACGTTAGACCGGTAAGTCTGAGGATGCCATTGTAGTAGAAGGTTTTTTCAGCTGGTCACAAAGTACATGCTCATTTTCTTCCTATGGCATAAAGTTTAGTTTTCCTAAAAAGAATAGGGTTTTTTTTATGAAATAAAAAGTTATGAAAAATTGAAAGTGATTACTTGCTTTTAACATGCTTTAAATTATGTATTTTCAACAGGCTTTGATTAATTCTGGCTTCTCCACAAAATGGTATCGATAATTCTGGATAATACTGAAAAATAATGAAAACCAATGCATCTATGAATGAAGTTTCTATTCTTTTCTCCTTATTATCTGCAAAATTTCCTTGATTCACAAGCATCCAAAATTCTCTTTTAAGGAATACCTTGTATATGTATAAAATACAATTTAAAATGAAAATAGAACGAAAAATTGTGGCCTATTTCTCATAGAACTTTACCTTCTGAAGAGTCTATTGATGTTGGTTTTAATATGGCATATTTTAATTATAGCTTATAACTTATATATTGTAATAAGTGTATCTTTTTAAAAGCTGCCTCTCGCCATCTGTCTCCTGGTTGGTGGAGCATTCCCTTCCATTCTTACCACAAAAGTAGAGCAAATTAAACTCTAAAACTGTGGATGATAATCCTATAATCATAGAAATAGACAATAAACATGACTCATGACTACATCCGTGTAGGTGAGATGCTGGAATATCGGAGAGTTAAAGGAAAAAATGCAATTCAAGCCTGAGTGAGAATATAAATACAAACACCTGTTTCCAGTCACCATGAGTCAGAATCGACTCTCCGGCAATGGGTTTGCTTTTTGTTTCCTTCTCACATGAACCTACTTCAAAAGAGTCATTTAGTGAGATGAGGAGAATGTAAGCCTATGAAGGTCAGATGTTGTGCCTGAAGTCTTACTTAAGTAGTCCTTAATTAACGTTTGGATCAATTTAAATGCAAGCAGTTGAATTACTTAATGCCAAAAGCTTTATATATTACAAACGATCCAGTCATATGACAAGTATTCTTTACTTAAATGTGCAGGGTGGTCTTGAAAAGGAAAAGCTGTTTCTCAGTATGTGGACAATACAGTGTGAAGAGCTATCAAACAACATCTTCTGTGTAGTGTTTCAGAATAACCATATTATTTCATCTTATGCTCAAAGCATTTGAGCTCAAACATTTGCTCAAAAGCAAGTATGTGCACTGAACTGGAAATAGTGTAAATATCCACTGATTTGCTCCATTATTTTGGCTCCATTTGAAAAAAAAAATCCCAATTCAATCGTCAAATCTGCGTTTTCATTCTGAATGTTGTTTTAAATACAAAATCCAGCTTGGCTCATGATCCTAACCGCATGAGTCCCACTTCAAATTATGCAGATCTAACTATAGATTGGATCTCCAGCACTTGGCCCTTAATGACGTCTTTCCTTTTTTCTGCCTCTTTCAGTGCAATGAAAGTCAAAGAGAAGTACCAATCCGACCTGTGGTTAGAAATTGAACGCCTGAATAAGGGTGAGGAGCTCAGATCTAAACAGGGTATGGGGCGAAATCAGGTCCTGTTGCACCACAGTTGCATGGGTCCTCATGGGCACAGGAGAGAACACTTTCTATGAAGGTGTGAGAATAGGTCTCCTAAGCCCAGTTGGAGCCCATGGTGTGAGTGTGTGTTTGGTAATATGTTCAGTGAGCCATTTTGTTTGTTTTTTAGCACAATTTAGAGATTTTTCTATGATGTGATTGTTGTCATTAGCTGGCATTGAGTTGGTCCCGACTTATGGCGACCCCACGCACGACAGAATTGGACAGTTGTAACCCATAGGGTTTTTCATTGGCTGATTTTTGGGAAGTAGGTCACTAGTCCTTTCTTCCTGGTCTGTTTTAGTCTGGAAGCTCCGCTGAAACCTGGTCAGCATCATAGCAAAATAACAAGCCTCCACTGACAGACGGGTGTTGGCTGCACGTGAGGTGTGCTGGCCGGGACTCAAACCTGGTCTTCCGCGTGGACGGCGGGAATTCCACCGCTGAACCAGCGCTGCCACCTTTTCTATCCCACTGAAAGCAAAGTACGTTGCTTTCAATGAAACTACCTTTTTTCAAGCCATGAAATATTTAATAATTTTTTTTTACTAACTGATAAAAAAATTTTTATTTCACATTAGTTATCACTTCTCAGTTTGTTTTTAAATGGCGACCCCATCTGTGTCGGAGTAGAACTGTGCTCCATAGGATTTAAAACATTTTAAAATTTATTTTGCTGTTGTTGTTGAGAATATACACAGCAAAACACACCAACAGTTTCTGTATATACCATTTAGTGACATTGATTACATTCTCTGAGTTGTGCAACTATTCTCACCCTTTTCTGAGTTGTTCCTCCCCTATTAACACAAAGTCACTGCCCTCTAAGGTTCCTACCTAAACTTTCAAGTTGCTGTTGTCACTTTGATCCCATATAGATAGTTCTCAAAAGAGCATAATGCTCAAGGCAGATCTTTTTTTCACTAGTTAAGCTAAACTATTGTTTGGTTTTAAGAAGACTTAAGGGGATATTTTTTGGTTTAAGGTTTAAGGATTATCTCAGGGCAATAGTTTCAGGGGTTCATCCAATCTTCACGACTCCAGGAAGTCTAGAGTCCATGAGAATATGAAATTCTTTTCTGCTTTTTCCCCTTTTGATCAAGATTATGCTATAGAATCTTTGATCAAAATGTTCAGTAATAGCCAGGCGCCATCCAGTTCGTCTGGTCTCATGGCAAAGGAGGCAGTTGTTTATGGAGGCAATTAGCCACACATTCCATTTCCTCCTCCTATTCCTGATTCTCCTTCTTCCTCTGTTGCTCCGGGTGAATAGAGACCAATTGTTGTGGCTTGGATGACTGCTTGCAAGCTAACTACAAGGCAGAAGAGAAGCACTAAAAACGTTATTAGGCCAATTAACCGAGATGTCCCCATGAAACCATGGCCCTAAACCTACAAACAAGGAACCAAATCCCATGAGGTGTTTGGTTGTACAGAAGCAGCCTCAGCAGCTACTCTTTTTTTTTTTTTTGTCATTTTTGTAAATATATCTGTCACACAACTTTTGCCAATTCAGCTTTTTACAGGGATACAACTTCTTGACAGCAATTACAATAATCGGCTGTCCAACCTCCTCCTTAATCAATGTGATTTTTCCATTACCATTATTCCCTCCCCCACTTTCCCCCTTCTCCCACCCTTGGTAACACTAATAAACTTTGGTCTCTGTGCGTTTGCCTTTTCTTGTCTTTTTATATAAGTGAGGTCATACAATATTTGTCCTTTTGTGATTGACTTACTTCACTCAGTATAATGTCTTCAAGCTCCATCCATACTGTAGCATGTATCAAGACTTTAATTCTCCTACCGGCTGAGTAGTATTCCATTGTGTGTATGTACATGTTGTTTATCCATTCATTTGTTGGTGGGCATATAAGTTGTTTCCACCTTTTGGCTATTGTGAATAGTGCTGCAATGAACTTTGGTGAACAAGTCTCTGAGGCTTTGCTTTCAAGTCTTCTGGGTATATACCTAGGAGTGGAATTGCCCTGGTTGTTCGGTGGTTCAAGAGCTGGGCTGCTAACAAAAATGTCAGCAGTTCCAACCCACCAGCTGCTCCTTGGAAGCCTTATGGGGCAGTTCTACCCTGTCTTATAGGGTCACTACGAGTTGGAATCGACTCGACAGCAAATGGGTTTGTTTGTTTTCTTTAATGGTAGTTCTGTTTTTAGTTTTTTGAGGAACCACGACACTGTTTCCCACAACGGCTGTACCATTTTGTGTTCCCACCAGCAGTGAATAAGGGTTCCACTTTCCCCACATTCTTGCCAACATTTGTTATTTTCTGTTTTGTTTTGTTTTTTTAAATCTTTGTCATCCTAATAGGAGTAAAATGGTATCTCATTGTGGTTTTTGATTTGCACTTCTCTGATGGTTAATGACATTGAGCATCTTTTCATGTGTTCGGCAGCCATTTGGTGGCATGTCTGTTCAAGTCCTTTGTCCATTTTATGATTGAGTTATTGGTATTTTTGTTAAGTTGTTGAAGTTTTAGATATATTTTGATTATTAAATTCTTATTGGATATATGGTTTCCTAAGATATTCTCCCAATTGTTAGCTTGTCTTTTCATTTTTTTGTGAAGTCTTTTGATGAACAAATTTTTTAATTTTTATGAGGTCTCATTTATTTATTTTGTGTTCTGCTGTTTGTGCTTTTGTTATTATATTAGATAATCCATTGTTAAAAGCTAGGCCTGACAGCGTTGCCCCTGCTTTTTCTTCTAAGAATTTTATGGTTTTAGTTTGCACATTTAGGTCCTTAAGCCACTTTGAATTTACTTTTGTGTATTATGTGAGGCATGGATTCTATTTCATTTTTCTGCATGTGGAAATCCAATTTTCCCAGCAACATTTATTGAAGAGACTTTTCTTTCCCCATAGAGTGGACTTAGCACCTTTATCAAATATTCACTGACCATAGATGTGTGGGTTTATTTCTGGATTCTCAATTCTATTCCATTGCTTTGTGTGTCTATCGTTATACCAGTACCAGGTGTTTTGATCTGTAGCTGTATAACCCATTGCCATCCAGTCGATTTCAACTCATAGTGACCCTATAGGACAGAGTAGAACTGCCCCATAGGGTTTCCAAGGAGTGGCTGGTGGATTCAAACTGTTGACCATTTGGTTAGCAACCGATCTCTTAACCACTGTACCACTAAGGCTCCATAGCTGTGTAGTATGTTTTAAAAACTTCCCAGGTTTTGAATACTCTCAATGAGTCACAAAATGAGATAAAGCCACTCTGGTAATGTGAGTGTTTGGTAATGTTCCAACTGATTAAGTTTGAACGAACATACGTTTCTGTGATCAGAGCTTTCCGAAGCACTGGGAGGGCGGGGGTTGGGGGTGGGGGGTGGTGCCAAAACAAGCAGAAGACAGTGGTGCGCTCTTGAGGCTCCTGAAGCGTAGCTGAAGAGACCTTCCTGGAAATGTCAGAGATTAGTGGAGATTCATTAAGTGTTGCACTGGGGTGACGCGCTCTTCAGGCTCCTGAAGCATAGCTGAGGAGACCTTCCTGGAAACGTTGGAGATTAGTGGAGATTCATTAAGTGTTGCACTGGGATTCTCATGATCTTTTGATTCTTGGAGTGCCTGCTTTAAGCCACTTTCAAGTATTTATTAACTTTTTTGTTTTGTTTTATTTCCTTTAAGCTTTTCCTGGATATTTCCCCATGAATCTGAAAGCTAAGAATGTATCACGCTTTTTACTACATGAATTTCTTTTTAAAATTTTCTTTCATTATGAAGGTGTTATTGATATGAGAATTTAATAAAACAAAGCTCTGAATATTACCCTTTCTGTTTTTATTAAATTTTAATTTTATTGTGATAAAATATATGCAACAAAAATGCGCCATTTCAACAATTTTTACGTGGACAATTCAGTGACACGAATGACTTTCACCATGTTGTCCTACCATCACCCCTGTCCATTTCAAAAGTTTTACATCACCCCATCAGAAACTCAGTGCCCTTTTAGCAATAACTCCCATTTCCTCTTCCTCCCAGTCCCTGGTTACCACTAACAAACTTTTGTCTCTATGCATTTGCATATTCTAGACATTTTATGTAAGTGGAATCATATACTATTTGGCCTTTTGTGTCCGACTTATTCACTCAGTGTAATGTTTTCAAGGTTCATCCCTGTCATAGCACGTATGAAGACTTCATTTCTCTTTATGGCTGAGTAATATTCCATTGTATGGATATACCACATTTCGTTTATCCATTCATCTGTTGACCAACCCTTAGGTTGTTTCCGCCTTTGGGCTATTATGAATAGTGCTGCAATGAACACATATCTGTTTGAGTCTGAATGTTACTTTTCAAATAAAGGGATACTGTGTTTTTTTTTTTTTTTTTTAAAGAGACCATCACCTAGTTACTGATCAGTTAATGGGCCTTCTACATTTATATGTTCTCTTGTTCTTTCATTCCACACTTATGTGCTACACATTGGACTGGATCAGGGTGAGGTAGACCTGCACCTGCTGATGAAAATTCCAGAGGGTAAAGGGTAGGCTAATAAAGAACTCAGGATCAGAAAGCCCTGGAGAGCAGTGGCTGTCCCATAACTATTTGCAGGATGACTTTTTCACAGACAATAGAAGAAACAGTTAAAGAGAACTGTAGTTACCTTTGTCCAGATATGTTCTAATCCAAGTGAGATGTAAAGAGGTATTGAAGGTAGGATGGAAGTTGTGTACAGCATTGAGGTAGCTGTGGCCCCAGTGGTAAATGTTCCAGAAAAGAAACTCAGGCTAGAGTATTTCCTGTTACAAATCATCAGTGAATGGGGATACTTTGAGTCCCAAAACATTGATTAGTGGGATGCTTGAAATTATTTTTAAAATTAACCTGAAAGAGAAAGACTATATATTATTATAATTCCTGATGAAGTTAACATTTCAATGAATAGTTCTATTTTTA